CAACCTCGTGTGCCTTCCTCAGGAAGATCATCAGACGAGCGTGTAGCAGAGTTGTTCAAAAGTTTCAAGTGCAGTTCTGTTTGACCATCTGCTGCTCCCCCTAGGAAAGAGCACATTAGTCTCATGCAACATTGTGTGCACATATAGACGTGTATCTATATATATCTGTGTGTGCATATATATACTTATGCTTGTAAATGTATAAGCTGAAAACCCCATGCTGTGAACGTTCTGTATTTTGCAGGTTCGGTGGCAGTTAGGTGGATGTCATGAGGCTTGTGGTCTACAGTCTCACCTGCCAGCTGCAAGGGTGGGAAAAGAACTTCATAAACAGGGTGACATGGCAGGGAGGAGACAAACGTGGCAGGCAGGAGAGTGCCTCCTTGTATACTTAGGAAAAAACAGTGTGTGGATGCTCAGTGAACTGCCTGAGCTCGTCCCGGAGCTGGCAGCCAGCAGTGCCCGGGTTCCCAGCTCTCTTCAGCCATGCTATGCCTGCTGGCCCCATTAATGTAAAGGCACGTGCATGTCTGCACACCCCAAACCCCCTGCAAGCAGCGCTTCTTCCCAGGAACCAGCCAGGTACCTCAGCCGGCACCTTCTCCATGTGTCTTGACATCTTTTCTGGCCATGTAAACCACTGTCAGCCTCTTCTCTCCCAGAAGATCTCCTTCTGCCTTTGTCGTTTTCAGAACCCATGCCGGTGCTTGCCGCAGGGACGTGGCCACCTCTGCAGGCCGGGATGTGGCTGGAGACGCAGGGACAAGTTCACGGGGCTGTGCCAGTGACCTCGCAGCTGACAGGGCCTCTTTCCACCAGCAGTGCCTTGGGCCCTCGGCCCTTCCCCTGGGTGCCTGGGCAGAAAGCAAGGGATTTGCCCTTCTTTCCTCAGTCCCCCATTTTTCACGCCTGCGGCAAGTCAATGTCCGCCTAATGGTAAATGTAAATATACGTTACCAGGAGCCTGGTCGACGCTGGCAGTTAACCAGCTCGGCCCGCTCCACACCCGCGCCGGCAGCGGCGGGCGGCCGGGCCCGGGGGGCGGGGGGGGGGGGCGCCGTCTGCGCTGGCGGCGCGGGGAGAGGTCTCGACATCTGCTTGTGCAGGAGTGTTTTTGAAGGGAAGCATTGTGTGTTTTCCACAGCAGTTCCCATGCGGAGGTGATGAAAAGTGTGTGTTTTGGCAAATCTTTTGTTTTATTGTGGTGGCTTGCGGCGGGGCAGCTCCTAGCAGCCGCCGCTTTGACAAAGCACCAGAGGATTCTGTTAAAAAGTTGTGTTTAGTAATTGTAGTCGTCGTGTCAGACCATAACTGACTTGGAGCTGAAGGATTTTTGCGAGATGAGTAGCTGTGCCAGCAGGGACCCAAGTCTCCTGGGCCAGCCGCGCTCTCATTAAGATTTGCCGCTAGCCGTGGCGGTGTTCGGCAAGTATGTGACGTGCATGCTGTTATTGTATGCTTGGCTTGTCAGCCTGCAGCTTTCTGACACTCACTTATGTCACTCTTTATTCAGAGAGGAAGAAGCTTTTGATAATTTGACAAGACAAGCTCTTAAACGATCTAGGTCATGGCCTTCACTGTCTGTGATTGTGAACATATTTCCTGAAAGCCCTGTCACTCATCACAGCTACATTTTCTCCCGGGGAGCCGCAGGCCCATCCCGGTCTCCTGTCAGCGCGTGCATTTTGGTTATTCATACGCCAAATACAGTAGCAGGGTTTTTCCTTCCCTTTTGCAAATGCTCGCATGTTAGCGAGGCTAATCCTCTCCCCCGCGCCGCGCTCCCAGCAGGGCTGCCGTCGAGGGCCCTCTCGGCGCAAGGCAGACGACCGGCCAAGGGGAGCGGAAAGGAGGAAAGGCCGCTTAGTGCTGTTTTTGTGTTTGCTCATTGTTGTGGAAATATGAGAACTGGTGGCAAGGGCCTTGTCTATTGAGCACTCGAGTCCTGGTCTGCTGTCAGGGGCTGTTTGAGATTGAGTGTTTTATTTTCTTTGATGTTCACATTTGAGAATAGGGAAGTGGGAATTAAACAACAGATGCATTAAGCCGTTGTTCTGGTAAAACAATAATTAGCACCTGATAAAATTCAATACGGGTCAAAATGTGCAGTATGCAGCCTTGATTCATCTGGTGTGGCAACCTTAGCTGGATCAGGCTCAGATACGAATAATCACCCTTCCAAATTAACCGAATGTGGGCCACAGCAAAAACAGCACAGATTTGGGAAAATTAATTGCCCAGCACTTGTGCAGCAAAAGGCATGCAGACATAGCTAAAGGTGTGGGGAAGTGCACCTCACCTGCGCTTTCTGCAGCTGTACCACGGTGGCACTGCTTTTAAGAGTAGGGACCTTTTGTACTGGTACATCTAAATGCTAGTAAGGTCAGACCACTGGGGCAGGAAATAAATGCAATTTTATTTTAATGTAGTTCATCACACTGCCATCGTACTTGTGTACCACAAGGGCTTTTCTTTAAATGAGGGCCATTCATGGTTAAGTACTTTTAAATAAATAAGAAAAATCACAGATTCGGTAGTTGTTGTATTTGGTTATGCTCTCTTCCATAGCAAACCTCTTTGCTTCATTTCAGAAGCCAGTATTCAGTAGTAATTGTTAATTATATTTTTTGTCATTCCATGATAGAAGATACAGACAATAACTCTGAGCTGATGCAAGGTAATAGAACTCCTAGTTAAAAGCATCGTTTCTAAAAGCTGTTGTTTAGCCAGGCATCCATTTTCGACTATTGTATTCAACTTCTGAAGTTCGTAAGTGATCATTGTGACGATGAAAAGTATTACACTGAATCACCATCTGAATGAAGAAATATGCTTGGCCAATTTTCCCTTACCACCTTCTTCCTACCTCCCTTAAGTTTTCCCAGAGCCTTAAAACATCCTTAAAGATGATGATGATAAACCCTACCCCTTGATAAGCACTGCTGAGGGGTTGGGACTGTGCCTCTCCCAGTGTTTTGGTAAGAGCTGTGCCAACTGTAGTTTCCTACTCCGAGTTACAGATTTTCGCTATAAGTGATGTCTTTGTGTCCAGAGGAAAAAAAAAACCAAAACAAACAAAACAACCAAACTGTTATTCAAAAATAAAGTATTTTTTTTTATTATTATTAAATAGCTGCTGTGTGAGTAAAGGTCATATCACAGAGTGGCATTTTGCCAGTATATGACAACTCACTGATTGTGATTTTTCAACCATATTAGTCTGGGGACACTGCGGTAATCGAAAACTATCCAGAACTAATGTATAAATAACTGCCTGCTACCCCTGTGCTAAACCAGCAAAAGTCTCATGTACAGTTGAAGCCTTTTACAGGTTTGAGAGAGAAGGCAAGGTCTTTGATACAACATTTTTGTACGCTCAAGAGTGTTTATATATTGCGCCTCTGAATCCTGTGTAAGTTAGCGAAGGAGGAAAATCCTTTTGTTTGCACTCGAAGACAGCTCGAGTGTGTTCAAACTGTCAAATGTTGTAGTCTGTTCCTCTGTTAGAAATGTGATGTACTTCACACATTTTCTTTATAGAAATATTAATATAAAACTCAAATATTTACATGCAGTATTTGAGTAAGAGGAAAAATGTCAAACCATTACACAGAACAGATTGTAGATTTTTCTCCAGAAAATTGTGTTACTGACGGAATGAATAATAAATAATATAATTTCCATCACATCCGGGAAAAACATACTGTATATGCCATAGGGTGACTGTCAAAAACTTGGATTATTTTTTGAGAGATTCAGTTGCTAATATTGGTTGTTGGGTGGGTTGTGGGTTTTTTTTTTTTTTTTTTCATTAAAATGCTCTGTCAGAATAAAAGAAGGCAAGAATTTAGGCATGAGCGAAAAATTTATTCAAAATCTAAAGAAATGTTAATAGTACTCATTTGCAAGTAGTCATGAGGCTTTAATGTTTAAAATTGGAGCTACCATATATTATGTAGAAGCCACAGAGTAACTAATATTTCTTCTTAAAATACTGAAAATTGAGATTGGCAAACCAAATTGCTAATTGTTCAAATGATTAAGAAGTTATTTTGACAAAAGGGTAAATGTTCTAAACAAAGTGAAAGACCTCCATCGAAGTCACTGTGTGCACACTCTCTTAAACATTAAAATGGCTAACAGAAAAAGTACCACTATTTCTGTGTCTGTTTATGTCTCTTCTCTCATAGGAGAAGACAGAAATATTGTAAATTTTGTAAAAATATTAAGAACCCTTGAGAAAGTAATCTCTGTCTCATTGATCATTAACACATTCTGATTTTGTTTAAAGAAGAAGATCCACATTTTCCTCTTTCTTGTCTCTTATGTATTCCTCAGGTCTATTGTGTTATTGCTGTGATTCAAAAATCTTCTCTGTAAAATTTTTTACAATGGGCTGCATTTACAAGTTTGTGTGCACGTCTGGCAAGTTTAAAAAAAAAAAAAGGCAAGCCATTGTAAAAATAGAAACATTAAAGCAATCTGTTATGCTTCTTGTTTACAACTCATCTGACATTAGGCTACTGAGGTTTATTACATGTAACAATTATATTTTGATTAGGATAGAGATATGTACAAAACTACTAAAATATTTCTATTTCTACATGAAAGGAAGGTACCTTGTAATTTAATTTCCAAAACATTGTGTAAATTTAAAATGTCAGAAAATGTAGAATTTAAATTCATTTCTGTTTGTTTTGCAGTATTAATACTTACTACAGTTAAGAGCACGTTACTCTTCCAAACTTCTAACCTTCAAAGAAGAAGGGGAGAGAGAAAACTGTTACTGGCTTTCTGACAATGGCAGGGAGTGTGTTAAACCAGTGTAAAATTCAATTAAACTGTCTAGCCAGGTTTTTGAAGCTGAAATGCAGACCCTTTCAGTTAAGCTTCTTATTTTCCTGTGACCGACACCGGTGGATACTGTGTTATGCCAAAACCAACAGGCTGTAAAGCACCTTGTTTCATGCTTCTAGCTGATCAATATTTTTATTTTCCAGGCTTGCCCAGAAATATGGAGGCAGTATCACCTAACAGTAAGTAGAAACACCTTTTTTATTTTCTTTTACACCCAACCTATTTACTCTTCTGTGAACTGCTGACCATAAAATATAGACAAGCATCTTCTGCGAGAAGATAATAAACATCTGAAGAGTTTTTGAACTGAAGAATGCAATGAAACACTGTCACTATTTTTTAAACATCTTTAGAACTTATGATTTCGTTTTAATACTGTAATCATTAAATGAGTGCCTTGCAGCACTCTCTCCTCTCAGTGACTACATTTACACATATAAATAGGGTTAAATTTTAAGTTGAGATGCATAGCAGAAGCAGTAATCCCATCTCAGATATCCCAGATGCTGGTAATTAATCACTGTGTGTGACAAAGCTTTCTTTTTAAATGAGTAAAATAAATCTCAGCTAGAGTGGAGATGTTAATTTGAGCAAATACACTTTATAAACTTTTGCAGATAATTTCTAATTGATAAGGATACAGCTATAACTTCTTCTTTGGCCTGCATTTGTTGATCTTTAATCATTGAAACAAGAAAATAAAACTTTGTGAACTGTACCAGTCTGTTACTTAAGGTTTTTCCTCATATGTAAAATAGAGATAAAAATAAAACAAAATGCATATAAATTTCGCTAATACTGAAACCTGGAACAGTATTTAACTGATTAAGACAATATTCAATGGATTGGCATCACAAATCTTGAATATATTCATTTATAAAATTATTACACATAAAAACACCTTTAAGATTAGGATTTTTGCTGTTCATCTGAATCTTTGCTGTCATTGCTATTCAGATCAACCTTGTATGTATTTAGCTATTATAGATAATTAATCACTGCTGTCTGTACAAAACAAAGTAGAAAAGTTTGTCCACTACTTTTCTTTATGGGTCTTTGGTGTGGGCTTTTTCTTTTGAGCAATAAATGGGCTGTGCTTTATAATGTGTTGCCTCTACCTCTTCATGGTAGTGGTATGCTCTTTTTTCTGTTTTTTTCTTCTAAATTCAATGAATAGGAGAAATATGTGCTTAAAACCTCTTGCTTGTGTTTTCTGCATAATGGTTTTAAAACAAAGATCTGATTTGGAAATCCTCCACCCTTTCTGTGCATTTACTTTTATTTTAAACAGAATTGGTATAGACTTCAAAAAAAAACATTGTGAGCAAAAGGTGCATTCACTGAGTGTTTTAGTTTGCTGTTTTAAAACTGCATGAAGGAAAAAGATAAATACTGTCTTTCATTATAATACCTAAGGTTGCATGTTAAAATGATTTCTGAAATGTTTATGATATTTGGAATCTAATAATCAGATAGGTATATTAGATGCAGTAATATGTTGAGGTACAAGATTTAATTTAATTTTAGTCTTGCTTGCCATTGAACATTCCTCAAAAGTGAGTTGCAATCAACACTTAGAAAATACTGTTTTTGTAAAAAAGTGTGGGAGAGCTTAAACCTGATCAAGTGGTTACTAGGGCAGAAATTGAGGTATCTGAGGTAGAAAATTTTGTCTGTGAATTTTGTAGAAAGTGTTTGGAGTTTACACTTTACTTAGTATAAAGCTAACAACATTTGTCAAAACAAGCTCTTGATAGAAAATGTAGTAGTTTCGAATACGAGTGTATTATTAAAAGCACCCATTTGGAAATTCTTAGTGCATTTTAGGGACATTTTGAAATGTGGTCAAATATGGGCATGCAAAGATAAATTCACATTGAGTCAGACACTAGCTAGTGATAAATAATTTTTTATTTTTCAGTGAACTGCAAATTATCTGCAGATAATCCACATTTCTGGTACATGGGAAATGCTTTGCACATCTCCATTTTTTGCATGGGAAGACTCACTTTGTCTAAAAGTTACATTAGTAGTCAGATTAAACCTGGAATTTAAAAATTTGTGTGGTAAAAGACATGCTTGATATTTAAAATAAGTTATACCTCAAGAAACTGCATTATCTGAATTGTTTAAATGTATTAGTCCCAGATTTTATTATTCCATGTAAATACTCTCTTTTGCACTGAAAGCAGAACAGAATAGTATTCTCACAAGAATCAAAACTTCTATGTTAAGAATAATGTATGTTATAGAGTTGTAACTAAAAAGTCGAGATCTTTTACTCTCCTATCAGTATAGTAGTATTTCACTATAGAAATTAGTTTATAATTTTCCTAGTTTAGAATAAATATTTCTTTACCAACAGGATAACTGTTTAAAGAAAAATAATTGAAGTTTAAAAAAAAGTACTATTGTGGTTGTTGCTGTGCTGCAGAGCTTGCCTGATTATTAGCAAACAAACTAAGGCTACAGTGAGTTTTTCCTGTGCTTTAGCCATGGATACAACTGCTAGATTTAAATTGATTTTGGTAAATTGATCCCAAGCGTCACACATGCAGGTACATATATAAGCGCAAATAAAACAAGGCATTCAGGTTTGTAATAAAAGATTGGTTTTTTAACGTTGCTTACAGACAGCCATTACAAAGTTTGTCTAAATGTTTTGCATTATATAAAGTATTCTTAGTTAATTACTGTGAATGCTTGTGAAAAACCACACAGCCTTCCACCTTTCTCTTTTGTGAAGCTTTTGGTGATTTTATTCATTATCTGGCTCTTTCCTAAGAGATGGACTGCCATCTATTGACTTCTTGTAGCCCCTGCACAGAAACGTAGATTGACTAGAACAATGACTAAATAATAAATCCATTCTGCTCTTATGGATGGTGGTAGGTTTTTGTTTACATTAGCTGTGGTGACAAATTTTGGCATATTACAAATAATCTGTTGTGTGGGCAGAAATGTCTTATTCCAACCAGAAAGACTGCCAGTACAAGAAATCTTATGAGCAGTTGAAATGGCAAAAAGGATTATAAGCGGAATATTTTAATTTGCCTTCTGGTAGAAAAAAGATTATCATATTGTATTCAATGAAGCTTAAATTTAAAGGCTCTATGATAATCAAAGCTTTATAACTGGATGAAGTTAGTTTCTTTAAACTTGTTCTTTCAACTCTGTTAACTAAAATTATTCTGCAAAAAACCAATCAAAGTCAGCAGAACAATCCAATCCCCACTGTGGTTTAAAATAATATTTAATAACCTCTTTAAGGTGGTGATTTAAAACCTTTACAAATCATTTTCATTGTGCCTGCTCTCTGTGTATTTCTCCTATATCAGAAAAGGGAAATTACGTCTGTCAAAACATATTTTAGTTTTTTCTTCATACAGGTATGTATTTGCAATAAATAGATCGGTTTTGATACCCGCTTACATTCATCAAAGGGTTTTTTATCAATTCAAATAATAACACAAGGACTTTGTTGGCAGATCCAGGATAAAGAGTTTTGATCATAGCTTACTGCAGTGTAAATAATAATACATGTAATTTTTTCACAGACAAGGCATTTGATAGTCTTGTAAAGCTCCTTATTCTAGATTATTAGGAAGGTTAGCTTACAACTTTGTCTTTCTAAATGCCAGATGCTCCACAAACCTGGAGAAATACGGTCTGTGCTCCAGAGGACATGCCATCACATCCCGTTTTCCCACATCTTCAGGATATTGGGGGTGCTCATAGCAAGGTTTTTTCATCCTCAGAATGCTTGGCTCTTTTTCATTCCCTTTCTCTTGTTGTTTCATATTTCAGCTATAAAGGTAGAGGCTTTATTAAGTATTTTGTACCCTAATGGAGGCCAGTTTATAGCCCTCTATTTACAAAAAAAAAGTCAGTGGAAAAATTTACGAGATTAAGGCACCCTACAAGTTTCATTTGTTTGGTTCAGTTTTGCAGTTTATTCTTAAAAAAAATACACTAGCCTTCCTCTGAGTTTGATCTGCTACCCGACTGCCTAACTGCATGTCCAGTGGCAGCTCCCAGTTAAGTAGGTCTGTGCACTGGAGGAGAGCAATCCCGCCGCGCCCCAAGCTTGGAGGTTCGGTGTGGGGTCCGCGGCGGTGCATTCTGCGGGGGAGAAGCCCTTCTCCCTAAGTATGGGAACTGCCATAAATGTTAACAGCTCGGGGCTTCAGATGGGCGGCAGGATTGGAGCTGGCCTTCTGTCGGGGTACTGCGCCATGGAAGGAAGCTGTTTGCATTCTGTACCCAAACCAGCGGATGGGACCTTGGGTCCAGACCCGCACTCGTCCCGTAGGTCATCCTGTGGCTTTGCTGCTGGAGTGACCCGATGAAACTGAGGGTAGATACTGCCCTGCTGTGAGCAGTTGCATTTCCACCCAACAGATGACACTACTGGAGAATAAAGAGGAAATTATTTTCAGCGCATAGTGACCCGTGTTTCGCTTCAGGCATGAAGCTGCACTTTTTCTGTGTGAGTCCCTCTGAAGTGTAACTCAAACCCCTTCTGCACAGTGGTACTGGTGGGGGTACCCAGAAGACGTGCAAATGGCCATCTCGGTATTTCGATATGAAATGGAATACGTGCTGGCTGTGTAGATCTCCCTGTGTATGCTGCACTGCTGCGTTGTTCGGAGGGACTCATGGTATACAAAAATGAACGTAGCCAGTCTGGCTTAGGAACAAGATGTGGATACAATAATGAAAAGGAATTAACATTGCAAGTATTAGTATCTTCTTCAGTAAATATCTACAGAGTAATGAAATTCCACCCCTAAAATGGGCAGAGCACAATTTTTATTATTCTAATATGTTTCTTGGTGTAGATGCATATGTTAAAAAAACAAATCCTACTCGGATTAGGTGTTTTCTTTCTGTAGGGATTGCTCATTTTTAATAACCTCTTCCTCCCCCTGTACTGCTGCGGCTGTAAGGACTCCTTCCCCCATCCCCTGCCTTCACCAGTCTCATTTATATTAAAGCTCCTAGGCCAAGATGGCCACCAACAGAGTTTTAGAACCATCAGAATTTTTAACTAGCAGAAGCTATCATTTAACATGCTTTTTGACAGTTTGTTAATCTTACTTTTAATCCACTTACATAAAAGAAGGTGAACCAGGAATTGGCTGTTTTGGCCTCTGTGCGTAAAAGACATGAAGGGACA